ATTATATATTTTGCCATCGTATACGTATAAATACAGTACTGATGTACATATTATATTATATATATATATACATCATATTCTTAATATATTTTTATACACTTAGTACTATAATATATGTAATCAAAACAAAGTCGGTTGTATGGTCATTTTTTTAAATTCACAGATACACCATGTTGTGCACATGTTTATTGTGCACCTGTTTAATGTGCACACCTGTAGAAATATAATGTATATACGGGACTTACAAATGGTATGTTTTTCCGCATTCTCACTCTCAGATTTGTAGTTTGGCGGTATATCATCCCGAGTTTTATACTCAGGCAAGGTTACTGTCGCGTCAGATGACTTGCCCCGGGTCTCTTCGATCACCATTGCGAAGTAATGTTTGTAACTGAACAAATGCAAAAATGTATATATATTCCAAAGAGAATCAGCCACCCACCAATGACTTGCTATATTCAGTTATGCCGAAACCTCTCGGTTCATATCATAATAGTGGACTGGTTATATTTAACTATGAGGAACCCTCACTATAACATGATAGTGGACTTCTAGGACGCTCGTTTCAATTGTAGCAGAATATCGTCACCAGCTTCGAAAGTTTCGCAAGCGTTTCTCGAGTTGAACTTGTTGTCGGTGTCTCGACTCTCAGAGACTCAGACCTCAGTCCTCACTCGAGATATCATATATATACATGACCTTCTAGAAATAAAAATTACCTCTAGAAATAAAAAGTAAGGCTGACGGACTCCAGGACTTGTATATAACTTTTTCTGTAATAAATGTTTCAATTTAGAAGGCTATGTAATAAACAACAATAGGAGGCCCAACACCGGGCCAACAGGGAAAAATTCAAACAAACAAAAAAATGGTTCCAAGGGATGTTTTTATTATTTATTTATTTTGGGTTTTTTAATAAAAATACAAATTCAGCACCATACGGCTTACATATTATTTTAAAATTATGTATGTATGTATTTACCTGAAATTCATACACACATACATAAATTTATGTATTAATTACTGAAAAACAGCAGCGAGCAAAACAACAATCACTGAATTGTTAGTGATTACTCATAATACTGACAATCAAAGTTCTTTGTCCTGGTCAAATATAGCCAATGAAAACCAAGTAAACAGTATTCTCGAGGAACTCTACTACTCGTTGGCTGGGGAAAAGTGAAAACAAACAAAAGCTGCAGGCTCAGTCTCTCGGTCTCCGGCTCTGCCTCTCTGCTTCGTGCTTTTCTCTCCATTCTGCTATGTATTGCCTTAGTATGTACTATGGTTATGTACCTTGAGCAAATCTATGTGACGATTCTGGTGATCTGGTTATATGTACGTTTATTGCTTTTGTATTGATAGCCATGTCGACAATATTCGTAGCAATCTGAACAATCATTGTATTCTGATTTCCAAGTCTGCTTTGAAAACCGGACTAGGAAACGAAAATACAACTTGAATAACCATTGGCGAAGTAATCAGTAGTCCCAGACTACAACACGCATGCCTTATTTGTATTCAATAAGCTAACGCCGGGAGGTTACCACATATTTACCTTTGCCAATCTTCATGGGAAGTATCCTTGCACCTATCCATATGCTCTCGGAAATGCTTCTGTTAATTTCTTCGGCAACAGCACAATTTGGGCGTTGTCTGCGACAAACAAACTACTAAAAGTTTTGGTCCTTTTGTAAGTTCCGTCTATTCTTGAAGTATTCCGCTAACCTCTAGGAATTCATACATTCTTGGTGATTTTGAAATACCCCAGTTTCATTTAGAAGGCTATGCCCGTGCACTATTCTAAACTGCGACAATTTTACGACTATTTAATACATTGTACAAGTGGCCATATACAATAGTGTTAATTGCGCCCGTTTCCAGCGGCGTCAAAATCGGAGTACAGTATCTAGAATTTCTGTGAACATGCAGTATGCTGAGTACTGTTAGAACATATATATCGAGACCCCTAATGTACACCTAACCTATTAGAACATACATTCGTAGGAGAAGCATTTATATATAGATAGTATATACGTATATAGTGTACATTGTCTACACGAAAGTATTCTACATATGACAATGTTCTCATTCACTTGACACCTTTACAGTTCTGTGACACTATATTGTGTTGTGTATGAGATGTTCAGAAATACGTGATGATTCTGGCTTAACAAGTATGAGATAATACCTGAATTGCTATGTAGGTTAGGAATCGCAAGTCGAATGTTTGAAACGCTAAATTATCACTATTATTTTTAATACCTTAATTTTTGAATGTTTACATCATTAGGCCTGAAGTCGCAGGTTCTCATGGAAATTTCGCCCGTCTGTAGTGGCGTCAATAATGCCAGCACGGATAACGAAATCACCGAAGGTTTCCCCATGGTGACGGTCAGAAGCATACTGCTTGAATATAGGCTCGATGAGTTCGAGGATCTGTGCCTCGTTCACGCTCTCGCGGTATAGTTTGTTCAGACGCTCACCTGAATGACTACCACCCAGTAACATGTTGTATGTACCTGGAGCTCGGCCCACGAACGCAATTTCTGCCATATAGGGCCTTGCGCATCCGTTGGGACAACCAGTCATACGGATAACTATACTATCTTGTCTGAGACCGAACTGTTCGAGGAGGTCCTCCATCTTTGTAATGAGACTGGGCAAGTACCGCTCACTCTCGGCCATGGCTAATGCACAGGTAGGTAAGGCTACGCAAGCCATCGAGTTAAGTCTGAGACCTGTTGCGATTAAATGAAAAATAGAGTAAGTAGGGGACATATAGAATAGCGTTCATAAGGATACAATACAGAAGCAGGACCAACCGTCGACGTACAAGAGCGAATCAAAAACTTACCGGACATTTTCTCATTGCCGATTCCGTACTTGTGCATAATCTCATCAATTATAGGCTTGTTATCATTCGAAACGTTTCCGAAAATGATATGTTGATTGGCGGTCAAGCGGAAATCACAGATTTTCTTCAACGCAATCTCCTTAAGGGCGGTCTTCATTTGAAGCTGAGGAGTGTCGATCACACGACCATTCGTAATGAACAAACAGTAGTGGTTTGTACCGTTCACACCCTTAGTCCATCCGTATCTGTTTGTATAGCACGGCAAAATGAGAGTTTAGGGATCAGACAGTTGTACAAGGGGGTAAATTCATATCCGAGAACAACCAGTCAGACAATTCTACAGGACAAAAAGATATGAATAATAAACTTGAATGCTACATACCTGTCAGAATTATTCTTGAATGTAATAGGCATGCTAGGCTCCAACTTAAAACCAGCACGCTCCTCGACCTGCTCTCTGAACCAATCAATGCCGTGATCGTCCACAGTGTATTTGAGACGAGCATGTTTGCGGTTGACACGCTCACCATGGTCTCTCTGTACCAACATAACTTTCTCACCCACAATCAATCCCTGCTCTGGGGTACAGAAGCCCAGCTGCTTCGCAATCTGAGGATACGTTTTCTTGTTACTGTGTGTCACACCCATACCACCTCCCACGCTCACATTATAACCCAGCAACTTCCCGTCCGAAATGACAGCTGTGTATCCCAAGCAGTGGGCATATACATCCACATCATTGTTTGGCGGTACAGCAATAGCAATCTTGAATTTACGGGGCAGGTAGGTCTCGCCGTAAAGGGGTTCGTGATCCTTGTGCACGTCACCAGCCACCATCTTCTTGTCCAACCAAATCTCGTGGTAAGCTGAAGTCTGAGGTGACAAGTGCCGACTGAGCTCTCGGGCAAAGTGGTCCACCTCAGCGTGTACCGCACTCTCAAAAGGATTGGGGTTACACATCACATTTCTGTTTACATCGCCACAAGCGGCGAGTGTGTCCATGAGAGCCGCGTTGATGCCCTGAATGGTGGGCTTGAGCTTCTTCTTAATCACACCATGCAGCTGATAGGCCTGGCGGGTTGTCAGCTTGATGGTTCCATTTGCATGAGAGTCCGCAAGCGCGTCCATGGCTAGATACTGATCCGCTGTGGAGACACCTCCGGGCACACGCACACGGATCATAAATGAGAAGGCATTTTCCAGACCCTGGGCCTTGCGCTCTTCTCGGAGATCTCGATCGTCCTGCTGATAGATCCCGTGAAATTTAGTCAACTTAGTATCTCTCTCGGCAAGTGCACCGGTGCTCTCATCCGCCAACCCCTCCAAGATGGTGCCTCGCAAGAAGTTAGATCCAGTCTTAATGTCGTCATCAGTAATCTTGGGTGGTGCCGGACCGCCGCTGATACCGGCGACACCCAGAGCTTCCCACACGAGCTCCAACCAGGGCTCTAGTGCAGTATTGAAACCATCATCAGCCGAATCGTCTCCCAAGCCAATAGGGACCAAGCGTTGGCCACCCATAACCTCCAAACGCTCGTCAAGATCCTTAGCCGGCTTACAAAAGTATAACTCACCCTCGGCACCAGGCCAGTAGTGAACATCTCCCAGCCCGAAGATCGCATATTGAGTGTTGTTGAGCGGTGTGTCGGAGGCCTGTAGTCCCTTCCATAGATCTTTGAAGTTGCCTGGGAACTCTCCCTGACCTGCTGTACAAAGCAGAAATATGACTTTGGTTTCCAAAGACAAATCATCGGCCTCAAACTCATCACCAGCCATGCAACGAGCATTGAGTCCTCGTCCTTTCGCTTCGCGCTCCATGTTCTTGGCTACACCCTCAGCATTACCGCCATCACTTCCATATAAGAATAGCACGGGGTCTCCACTCAAACCACTCAATAGACTGGAGTATGCCGCCACCGCCTTAGCCATGGTTTTAGTGTGTGTCTCGACAACCTTAGTTTCGGTCGATTTAGCTAGTGCTGGTGCTACGACGATCTTGTCCGCGGCCATCACACTCAGCTGTTTATCTTTCGCAAGGAAATCTAGCAAATCTTTCTTTGCTCGCTCGGAGTCCAACGAGAAGTTGTCCTTGCCGTTGTGCTCGTTCTGCGGGTTCCATCGGTACAATGGCCACAAACCACTATCGACGGCTCGTTTTGTCTCTTTAAGAGCCTCCAATGGCTTAAGTGACTCTGAGATCCCCAGGGCACCAGCATCAACATGTGGCATGTATGCTAGAACGACACTAGGACCGGGATAGCGGTCTGCTTCCATGCACGCTCGCAGTACTTGTGTGTAAGATGAGTAGAGTGCTACAGAAGCAACATAGCAGCCTCCATAGTTCATGGAGTACAAACCAATGTCCTTCTTCATCTTTTGGTGTCTGTTCTTGGACGTATGGGAGTAGGGCTGTGTGTCTAGGATAAGCACATTTACATCCTCTCCTCCGGAGATGATATGGTGTACACCACTGTCACTTAAATCACGTGCCCAATCATCACCACCAACTAGCCACCTCGACTTCTTGCTGAAGAGTTCACGATCCTCGAATATACTGCTCAAAACCCCGTTCCCGTTCGCCTCTACACTTAGCAGTTCAGATATTTTTTCTTCTAGCGCCGCGGATTCCTTAGCGTCCTCCCGATTCTGCAGCCATTGCAAAAAGAATTCCTTCAACCCCTCGCTCAAACCGATAGACTTGTCCCATAGTGCATGGTTTACAAGTTCAGCCAACTTACTTCGTCTCTGAAGATTGGCCGAGTGTACTCCGTAACCATATTCAATGGTGGACTTACCACCGTCACCCCATACTGTGGCGGAGCCGAATGCATTGGCAATAGCTAATCTTTCTGCAAACAGGTGCTGTAATACCTTCACATATTGATTGTCTACATCATCGGACTTCTCGTCTGAAACCTTCAACGTGTGCAGTTTATCAACTCCCCCCTTGCCCAAAACAAAGGATGTTGCGGGTGTAGGAGAAGAAACGTGCTGAAATGCGGTTTGTACAATTTCGTGGGAGATACTTGACCCCTGAATTTGACCACCGATCACCAAAGGTCGCTCATTCGAGTTCCAAAGATCCTCACTAGTTTCGTAAATAGCAGCCATGACATCCAAGTATAATGGACCGTAATAACTACCATTCGACTGAGTTACATCTAACACTGCGATGCGTTTGCAAGTCTTCGGCAATGCTTTGATAAGCATGGCGCCAGACCACGGTCGAACCATACGGCACAGGAGTACACCACACTTGTCCCCAGCTTGTGAGTGACTAATAGTGTCGGCGAACACACTGCCAACAGTGCCTACAGCCAAGACAACGTGCTCTGCGTCTTTGGGTCCAACATATTCGAAAATGTGATAGCGATGTCCCAGAACGTTGGTCAGATCCTGTGCAATCATAAACAATACATATGAGGTACACATTTGCTTCATGGCGCAGAAATTATCAGAGAAGGGTTAACTAGAAAATGACAAACAAAAAGCAGGTCAAATCGACACTGTCAACAGGAATATAAAAATTAAACAACATATCGAGATAAACAACTAGGCGTACCTTCATAACCTCTTCAACTGCGGTGGGGAAATCAACTGATTCTGTCTTTGTCTCTGCCTCCGATCCCTCTTCTGCAGTCTCCTCGTGACTTTTATCTCCCTTTTTCTTGTAGTTATCAATAGTATCTGCATCGCCTTGAATGAACTCGAGCAGGGACTCCTTGTTAGCAAGAGCCACCGAGCCTTCGCGTGTGCTATCCCCATCGAAGAAATGAATGCTGGGAGTATTAGTGCGAGAGGCAGCGATCTGTGCAATAATAGACAGATCATGTGCTTCCTGTGTGGTCTGAGAGCTAAAGATAGCAAATCCAATCTCACTTAAAGCCATCACATCTCCGTGATCTGCGAGAGGCACTCCATTTGCCATGACCGTGGGGGCTGTTTGTACTAATAGGGCCCATTTTTCTTCGGCGACGTTATAAAGTGCTGGAATTAAGGACAATAGATTGTCGCTCGTAGTGTGTACCACAGTGAAGGGTGTGTTAGACGCCGCCGACTCCAAGGCTGAGGCACTGCCCGCAGCGTTCTGAGCAAAAATAAAACATATCAAGAGTAAGTCACACAGTAGCAACATTTGAAAAGAAGATATCTAATGAATATACGAGTGTTGAGGGTATTGCTCTGAGTAGGTTAACAATGGGCGTAAATCGAAGGCGGTGCAAACGGCATTCGGCCAAGAAATTACGTACCCTGGATTCCACAACTGATATGTCCCTATCGAAGGAGTTTTTTTCTTGTGATAGTCCTTTTAGGGCTGAGTGTCCGCCGAGAACGGGTCTACCACTGGCAGAGTCGAAGATGAAGACCTCATCGGCGAACAGATGGGTCACATGCGCAACCGCGACATCGGCAGTAACTTTTGGCGTTGCAGTAGCCGATGCTTTGCTGTTGCGTCCCCAGAGATTGCCCAAGGCATTCACAACGAAACTGGCCTGCATTTTATCGGTGTCTCTGGTCGCTTAGTATGCGTTAGTTAATCCTTGCCTTCTTTCACTATGAAATTCCAGGATGACAAGTCGATGGTAAATATGGTCACAATTATTGTTTAACTTTGTATATCGTCGCACGTATCTAATCCTCTAATTTGGGTGCCGTGCCGAATAAAGTGATACAAGTGTAACTTCCACGCGGGTAGTGCAAGCTGCTTATAGCTCATCAGTAAACAACACAGACAATCGGCGTCGATCGCTGTTGAAGCAAATAGCAAGCATAATATTGTACAGTTTATTATACAAACGTGACAAAATGTCTCATTTTTTTTTCACGCGATGAGCCCACCCAAGCTCCAGTATATTTAGAGGTGAAAGGCTGTCACTTTTGTTTTTTTTATAATTATTTTTTTTAAATCACCAACTTTTGTGTCATTGGGCATACGATTTGATTGGCCAGCGCCCATGCATTGAATTACATTATCGCGACTCGCGTTGACTGTACAAGAAGTGTACATAAATACTACGTCCACAGTATTGTGATTTTTTTTTTTACAAAACAATTATTAGTCACAACCTGTATAATTTAGAGAGGGTTATTTATGTTACAACTCACAAAATCATATGATATTTGTAGTTCGATAATTTTTATTTTTATAAAAATAAATAGCTGCCAGCCTGCCAGCCTGCCAGCCTGCCATAAATACCAGAGTCCGACGGACAGACAGCCTGAACCCTGAGGGCTAAGGCCCTGAGCGGCCCCCGAGCCGACACACAAAGAAGGGGGTGTACATACTACATAGTCCCTTTTCTCAACACAAGTTCCCAACGCACACACTCAATGTGACGAGGCTTTTCAAATTTCACAGAAATTCAGAATCGATTTTGTTTTGTTTGCTTTTTGTTTGTTTAAAAAAAACCTCCCTAATTGTTTTTTAAAAACAAATATAATAACCAAAGGGGATTACCACACGCGATATGCGCCAGAGCGGCGGTGCGCAGTGCGACCCTGTCACACTTTCGAAAATAGATCTTTATTCATTGGTTCACCTCTTTATTTTTGGGACTACTGTTCCCATATCTGGCAGGAAAGCGTCTTGCTAAAATTGATGAACACCTATTGTGACTTTGTGAAAGACTGAGAGGGCTGAACCGCTGAGGAGGGCGCTTCTTGATTCTTGAACGTGTAATTCCTGTTCTGACCCTGTACTTTTCTAGTAACCAATTGGGTTCTTGTTTTTTTGCGGTTGGAATGATGTCGGGACAGACACTATTACTGTAATAACGTCCCCCATTGATTGGATATAAATCTGGCTGATATGAGTTCGAATTTCCTTGAAATATTATTGAGATTTCCAAATTTCAGGTCTGCTCCCTGCCCCAGGGCCCAGGAGTCCAGGACCAAGCTTCATTGACATCTCGCAGAGAGAGTGAGTGACGCAACCTCGAACTTTCGAAGTCCAGTATTTTTCCTCTTGGCTTTTTTTTTTAACCAATTTTTCAATACATAGCAGATAGCTGTCATAGCCTGCTAAATTTGTAAACACAGTCGGAAGGCCCCTTGTGAGTAGTGACTCACTTGTTGTGACTTGTGTGTGTCTTCACTGTCTTCACTCACTTTCTGGGGTCTTGTCCTGACCCTCGTGACTTGTCACAGCAGATCTTTTGATAATTTTTGGAGTTGTGTCGGCATAATTCAAACACACTACATTGTATATCCAATACGAGCAAATGTCCATGTCGCCTCATTTAATAGTGTTTTCATTGGCCTGAAGCAATGGACCAACACCTACGATAGTAAAAAAAGTCCTATGTTTTTTAATTTTATATATATCCATATTTTCATGCCATCTTGTTTTTTTATCCTCTTCCTGCAAAGTGCACACACAGTCCACACTCCACACTCCACAATCCACAATCACAGTCGACACGGAACACAGAGACTGTCCGTCTCTCGCCAGCACTCCAATACCCTGAGGCCAGCCGTCTACTTCACACTATTTACTTGTGACACTTTTGAATTTTTTAAAACGGCCTTGCCACAAGTAATACTTTACATAAGATACCTGTTGTATGTTCTTTATTATTAAAGCCCAAATATATCTATTATGGATGGTATTCAAGCCCACAGTGCAGCTGATATTGCTGAACGTGAACAGACAACAGAACAATACAGCCATACGATCGAGCCTCAATCTGAAGACTTACCGATGTGCTTCAACGAAGTAGCATCCCAGAAGCGCCTCAAACCAAGGTACTCGAGAGCTTCTAAGGAGGTCAATACCTCGAGAGGCTTCTTGTCAACCCTTTTTTTTGGGAATTACGATTGGTGATTTGAGGACGATAGACAAGTCTGCGACCGTAATGTAAAGTGATTTCAATGATTTTTAATAGTGACCAAAAAATGACGACATACTCTTGGTCTAACGATACCAAGTATCAGCACAAGACATAGCCTGCCTCTATATTCCTGAAGCGTCAAGAGCCTTTATGTTACCAGTGGTCGATGATTCATGTTAACCTAAATAAAAAGGATTATCACTTCTACTTGGATGTTCCACGTTTATCTGTTGTTTGAACCGAATGTATATATATATATATATATATATATGTGTGTGTGTGTGTGTATAGTATATTATTATATATTATATATATATATATATATATATATATATATAGAAGTACGTATAATTATATGTATATATATATATATATATATATATATATTGAAGTACATATAATAGACATAGCATAGACACATATATATTTTATGCATATATATTTATATTGAATTGGACTCTTCAAAATATCATTATATTTGTGTACATTTTCATACATCCGCAGTTGTCTCCTATGATCCAAGTGAAACTCAACTCTTCCGTAGAATATATGTTACTCTACAGTACGTAACACCCTTCTTTTGACTTCGGATACTTCACCATCGTATGTAACAATCTCAATATCAAAAAAGAGCAACAACTCTTGCAACCATATCGCCAATAGCGTTTTTATTTACAAAGAATTGATTTTAACTGTCACACAAGTACTATATATATGTGAAGGTAGCACTACTAGTGTCCCTATCCTTTAAATCCACATATAAAAATGAAACTCAAGCTGTCGACTTTCTTTTAGAGTCCTGATACATCCACGCGAGTTTAAGGTCGATTACCATCAAATCCACGTACAAGCACAAGCAACCCCTAATTAATATAGATATAGGCATTTGGTTGCTACAACAATCATCGCCGAGACATCTTAACTGCTTTTCGTTGCATTTTCTCGCAGAATAGCCACGACCTCCGGGTACGCGAACCATTCGGGAATCTCTTCGCCTTCAACCAGCATTTTTCTGAACTTGGTACCAGAGATACTCATTGGTGTGTAGCCCTTCTCCTTAGCCTCGTCCACTGGAATGTATGCCTCTTCCTCCTTGGCATATACCATTGCCATAAATGGCACCATGGTCACTCCAAGTTCCTTCTGCAGAGGCATCATAAGATCCTGCGCATCATATGCGCCGTAGAAGTCGTTACCTGACTTGTCCTTGCAGCCCGCATGATCGCGTCCGATAATCATGTGCGTGCAGCCATAATTCTTACGGATGAGGGCATGTTGCAAAGCTTCCCGAGGTCCACCGACCATCATACTGTAAGGAAGGTACTCGAAAGATACATGGTCGAGCTTCTTGGCCAGAGCATCGTACGTTAATTTGCGAACGGTGGCTGGAATATCGTCGTCCTTAGTGGGGCCGATAACAGGGTGGACCAGCACATCAGCATCATACTTCTCGTGTGCTCGCAAAAACATGGTGGCATGTGCTCTGTGAAGGGGGTTTCGTGACTGAAATGCGATCAAATTCTTCCCTGGTGTTTTACTCGCTCTGATTTGTGCGGGAGTCTTACAGTCCACCCAATCTCGTTGCGGAAGCTTGTAAGCGTACACTTTTCCGCCAATATTGAACTTCTTCTTCTCCATGAGTACGTGGTACACTGATGGATGCTCCTCATTGACGGTACCGTACACCTTCTCGGCCTCGATGGAACGATTGGGTGTCCATTTGCTAGTGACATGAATGCACCCATGTCCACCAAATAGTGGATCCTTCAATTCAACCCAGTCCCCGATCTGAACGGACTCATCGTCAGTATCCAGAGTAACGGGCAGTCCAAATAGCTGGCCCTCGGGCAATCGCATATCTGCGATCACAGAGTTGTACTCGGTCTCGTTCATAAACCCTTCAAGAGGAGAAAATCCACCGACAGAAAGCAGCTCAAAATCGCACACTTGGCGCTCGTTCATAGTGTGGATATGCGTGCAGTTGCTAAGAGGTGTTTCTATGCTGGCAACACCTCCCTCCACTAGTAGTTCTACTAGTTTACCACCGTGAGGTTCTCCCTTGCTGGTAATGCGTGTGTGAATACCGCATTCAGTTTGTAGGCGACCCACGAAGCGACCGGATCGCTCAGAGTCCTCGTATTGGACAGGTACAGAAGTATGTGTATCACCAAAACTCTTCCAGATATATACATATGGTGCTTGAGCGTGAATGTACGCTTTGCTGTAAGCAAAGAAAGGAAGCGAAAGCTCCACCTTCTCAAACTTACTGTAAGTATCGCGATCTTCTGCGTAAACCTTTTCCTTAGACACTGTGATAGTCTTGTGCAGCGCGTTGTATGGCACATTGTATAGTAACACATACTCGCATACCTCCGACCAAGACCAACCAGCAAGAGGATTGAAGGTGCTTTTCTGAGGCTCCCATGTGTCAAGCGAGACTCGCTCATTGCCTTGATCGCAACGGCGACCTGTAATAGACACTTCCTTTCCAACCTCGTTCAATGCATTCACTAGAGGATCAATTTTGCTGTGCTTGTCGAAGTCGTCGTAAGACAGGGTCGCGTGGTTCCCGAACTTGGCCTCAAATTCCTCCTTGGTATTGCAGCCCTCAGGTTTTCTAATCACTGCCTTGAAGTTGTACTTGGCCTCCATTTCGGTGACAACATCGAGCGTCTCTGGGAACAAATGCAAAGTGTCGACACCAACGACAGTAGGCATAAAGTCGGCAAAGCGGGAGAAAAGATCAACGATCACATTATCACTAACCAGCCAGGCTGATACGACTACAATCTTCTCGGGCTGAAATGATGAGAGGTGATTCTGTACATCCGTCTTGAAGTTGTTGATCTTCTCCTTAAGATTTGCCGTTATCTCGACGGGCGTAGAGTTTTCTACGCGAGCGCGCTTAGCAGAACCGTTAGCAACCGTCATGATTATATGTTTGATCGACTAGGTGGCAATGTATGTCTTCAAATAGGCTCAATGTACGCTGTGTGCTTCAAATAAGTATGAAAGTCCGGGTTGAGTCGACAAATATATTTTCAAAGGCTCCGTTGATTTTGAATGAACCACACGGTATTATATATTTTATTTTAATTTTTTTAACTAACGGCCTTCTCTCTCTCTTTTGTGTTGACGCTTGCTCGAATCAGACGTATGACATGTTGACATTTGACATGCATTGAAACTTTGAAAGTTCATTCAAATTGATAAAATATATAGGGCTTATGATTGGTGAATCGTTATTCATGACGGGAATTTCTTTCTGGCTTTTTGTCCCACATACAAGAAGCCAGCTATGCGACAAAAATTCAAAAATATAGCGAGAAACGGGACTGGGGACATATCAGGTCCAAAATAAATATTGTGAACAAAAATTGATCGATCAAATTGATCATTTGCCTGTAATCCCATTCGTCCGCGTCCAATTTTCTGATGCATCAGCTGATCGGAGTCATCGGACAACAAAAATCGAAACAAAATGACGACTCGGCACTCTCGCGGTAAGATCGGGATTGTGGAGACTCTGGGAGAGGACTCAGAGGAGTCCGGAGGTGGGGCGTGGGGCGCCATGCCAGGGGCTGACGGCCATTTTTTTTTTTACAGTAAAGGGAAGGCATGTCTGAGTGAGTCTGAGTGTCTGACTGTCTGATCGCCTGTGGCCGTGGGTTCCAAACTTCCAGCTGGTTGTGAGTGACTTTTTTTGTGACAGTCAGATACTTCACAGCCTCGCAGGCTCGCCCTCTGCACAGCTCACCACACTCACAGCCTCACAGGGGGTGTGGGGGGGGGACTAATAATAAAGTGATGACACAGTTAAAAAAAATGGCATGCTTTTGTCGAATATCTGGCACACACGATTGTAGTATTTCGTATTTTATTTTATTTATATTTATTTATTTTAGAAGGGGGGGGGGGTCGGAGATCTAGAGCCTAGAGGGGGGTGGATATTGGGGGTTGGACCGACTTGGACGTTAGACGGCTGGAGTCTTGGACAGTTTAGTAGAGCCTGAGAGACGAGATTGACCTTTTGTGGACGGGTCATCCGTGACAGGCTCTCTCGGTTTCACCTACTCGCCTATAAAATAGATATATGAAAATCGTGGTATTTTGTAGTATGACTGTATGTGATGCCAGCTTTAAAAACCTGAGGAAGCTTTTCATATATCCTTATGTACATTGCTTATTCTAAACATTCTCACACTTGAGGTATTGGTCGACGAGATTTTCCGCCACTACGAACTAGATTCATTTATAACATTGTGAGCTCCTTTAAAAGTTGCTAGTGATATCAAACAAGGTCAACATGGCTCCAAACCGCATCGAATACAATTTTGCGGGTGCTCAATCCGTAGAATCATTTGATAGTGCTGAGTTTAGTGAAGATGATATATATCACATAGCTCCAAGAGATATTGATGATATAGGTATTGGTCTGGGCAATGAAGTACATCGACCGGTGATACGTGGAAATCTTTTCCTGGTAGGATCCGGTCCCGGTGACCCTGAGCTGCTAACCATGGCTGCATACAGGCATTTGTGTACCGCGGATTTGGTTGTATCCGATCGGCTGATTCCACAAGAGATTTTAAAACTGGTCACCGGGGATTTAAAGATTGCGCGTAAACACCCTGGCAACGCGGACGCGGCCCAAGTTGAGCTGATGGATTGGTGCATGGAAGGCATACTGAGGGGCCAAAAAGTGGTTAGATTAAAGAACGGCGACCCTTTTCTGTACGGCCGGGGAGGGGAGGAAGTCAACTATTTTAGAAGGTTTCATATTGATCCTGTGGTAATACCAGGTATTTCAAGCTCGTTAAGCGCACCACTTCTGGCAGGGATTCCCCCAACCCACAGAGGGGTGGCTGACCAGGTATTAATAGCTACCGCACACGGCAAAAATGATACTATACCGGACTTGCCACCTTACGCACGGAATCGTACTACGATATTTCTGATGTCGATTGGACGGCTAAATACACTTACAAAAGGCCTGATGCAGGAAGCAGGCTTCCCCACAGACACTCCAGCGGCCATCATCGAAAAAGCGTCCCATTCCAACGGACAACAACGTGTATTCAAAAGTACATTAGAACACATCGCACGCATAGCCGATTTAGAAAATGTAAAGCCGCCAGGGGTGGTGGTTGTTGGTCACACTGTTAACGCCATCACAGAAAATTACAAGTTCTGACATCCTGCGGGCTTGAGACCGTTCCATTGAAGCTAATGCCGTTAAGGTGTTGGTTGTGGGTTACACTGTAACGCCACCATAGAAAATTACAAGTTTTGACACACTGCGGGTCACCGCGACAGTATTGAAGCAAACGCCTTTAATTATATAAACGAAAGAGATAGTGCCATACACCAAATGAGCTTATTTTTGAATTTATTTGATGAAACCATCGCATTAACGCAGTTCACTGCAACACACCCTCAATGGCTTTTTGACATATTTATGCCCAGCAGTGCGCTGTAATCTTTGCTTACTTTACTATAGAGTCACCGATTCAATAGTAGTAATGGCGGGAGGTGCAAGTGGTGGAACACGAGTATACAAATCCATCGATATCCGGAAAGTAGATATATATTTTTTTATAAATATATATATATATATATATGTATGTATGTATCGTTATATGTAAGTGTCTTTATATCTATATATGTATGTATTTATGTATGTATGTACATATATAAATGAATACAAACATACATATATATATATATATATATGTATGAATGTACGTATATATGTATATATGTATATTTATATATATATATATATATATGCATGTGTATGTGTATGTATACGTATATAGATAAAAATATGTATATACATATATACATATGTATATATATATATATATATGTGTGTGTGTGTGTGTGTGTGTGTATGTGTGTGTTTGTGTTTGTGTGTTTGTGTGTGTGTATACGTGTGTTCATGCGTGAATGTATATAAGTGTACTTATATATTTACGTATATATGTATATATAAACGCAAGTATGTATGTTTGTATGTCTGTATGTATGTATTTTTAAATGGATGTATGCATGTATGTATGCATGTATGTGCGTATGTACGCACGCATGTATGTATGTATGTATATACGCATGTTTGTTCATATGTATATATGTATGTATGCATGTAAGTATGTATCTATCTATCTATCTATAAATGTATGTATGTATGCTTATATGTATATATGTATGTTTGTATGTATATATGTATGTATGTATGTGTATGTATTTATGTTTGTGTGTGTGTATGTATGTATGTATGTTTTTAGGTAGAATCGTATGTATACATGTATGCATGCATCTATTCATCTATGTTTGTATGTATCCATATAGGTAAATATTGTATATATATACATACACATATATATCTATATATACATATATGTATAGATAGTACCATTCTGAGTCGGAGA